GTGTGACGATGGCGGGCAGCAGCCAGACGTGCGCTCAGACACACGTTGCAGACGTGATGACAAGCTGAAAATGGGGCCGGTCCCAAAAAAAAAACCTGCAAAGAACCGTTGCAACGTGAACCCGAGCTGAAACGGGACATGACTCAGCAGAATGAGACTGTTTTACTGCTGCTCCTGTTTTACTGTATGATGAAACTCTGAGCTGATGTCGCTTTTAGCCGGTGAGAGAGGAAGTCAAAACTTCAGTAAACCAGTTCAGACAATTTAGTGTCATCAGTAAAATGTACCTCCTAACTTGACAGTACGAGTGTTATTGAAAGGCAGAGGTGGACAACAGTGTTTTTGCTCATCAGTGTGTACATGTACCCGTCTTTTGCCAAAAAATCTCTACCGCTGGACACATTTTAACAGAACTTGCAGAGCGTCTTCAAGGTACAGTAACGACTTGATTAGCTTTTTGAGCCAACCCTATTCAAGATGGCCACCACAGCTAACTGCACTTTTGAAAACATGAAAATGGCTCTAATTTGCACTAAAATACATGGTAGAAGCAAAGTGTCATTCACAAAAAGCACTCTGAGTGAGCACTAACAGATACCTCCATCTTTATCTTATAACATGTATGTTTTTAAATCACTAACAGTTCCACCCCATCCTATCTCACTGATCTTCTGCAGCCATATGTCCCACCGCGCTCTCTGAGGTCAGCAGACCAGATGCTTCTCTCAGTCCCAGAAACCCGTCGTAAGCTCAGAGGTGACAGGGCTTTCTCTGTTGCAGGTCCACGACTGTGGAATGAGTTGCCACTGAGTGTCCGGCAGGCTCCCACACTCTCAGTCTTTAAGTCTCGCTTGAAGACCCACTTCTATTCGCTTGCCTTTAACACGGTGTGATTTGTTTTGGTCCGGTCTGTTCTCTACTCTGTTGGCCATTTTAGTTAGCTTCTGCTGCTATTTGTATCTGTATTTCTATTTTATGTTTTCCTGTCTGCTGTGCATGTTTGGTTCTTTTGTACAGCACTTTGGTTGGCCTTGTTGCTGTTTTAAGTGCTATATAAATAAATTGGTATGGTATGGTATGGTATAACATGGGTCGTATGGAGGAGGCAGGTCTGGGAGAGAAACCCAGACATCCTTCTGCCAAGCTCCTCCTGAGGGCTACTCCAAGATTCAAGTTCAAGTAAATTTTATTGTCATTCTCATCACGTGGTACAGAATTTCGTACGGTCTCAGTTACACCCAACAGTAGCAAAATATAAAGTGTAAAAAGAAACAGTATACACGAATCTAATATATACACCAAGATATATGCCAAACGAATATCAAATTGCACACCAAAAGATCTACGCTAAACACTAAACTGGTGTGTTCCCTGGTGTTCCCTGACCAGATAGCATACAGAATCCCTCCAGTAAGGTCTGGATCCGCCCTGGGGTCTCTTCCCAATGAGATGTGCCAAAACGCCTCCAAATCAGAGAACCACCTCAACCGACTCCATTCAATGTGAAGGAGCAACGGCTCTCTGCTGAACTCTCCCCGGTTGACGGAGCCCCTATCTCTAAGGCTGAGATAAGGTGAGGA